GTGCAAAATTACCGTCAAATTGGCAAGTACAGTACTCGCAGTTTTGTTTTTTAACATTCGCAAAGTTTTTAATTTTTTGAATATCGAAATATCGGGCTGTTAGTCAAACACACTTCTTAAAACTAGCTCATATATATGATGGCAACAAGCAAAGAGTAACAGCTCTCTTTCTAGCTTTCGTTCTAATAGCACACAAGCTCCATTTAGCGACTTGTATTGGATGCTATTGTGTCACAACTAGAGGATTTGATCCCGGGATCCGATAACTTTTCAGTCCCAAAATTTTCGGGATTAAGTTTTCCTAATCCCGAGATTTTCGGGATTGACATCATTTTAAAAAAAAGTTGCAAAATAGACTGCACGAAGCGAAACGTTCAGTGCCAGTGCTTTTAACAGAATTGCTTGCCTATCATTTTAATATAAAATACAAGAAATTTTATTCCAAGCAAGCAGCAGAAATTAACCTAGCGGACTTGCGATGCTTGCTTGGAATAAAACTTCTTGTATTTTGAACTAAAATGATAGGCAAGCAGTTCTCACTGGGTTACTTGGTAATATACTTCATTTTTGTATTTTTGAATTTTCGCGGGCGCCAATCGATTTTCTGGCGCAGTCAAGGGCACTACTCAGTGCATTTTACCTGTCAATGTGTCAGCCATCTTGTTTTGCCAGTGTAGTTAATATAGACCCGACGCCTCTCGCTTAGGGGGGTCGACCTTAGGTGAAAAGGTTACGACCCTCGCCTTGCCCACGATCTGTCAGGATGATGCGAGAAAGTCTTTTTACGTTTCGGGGTAGTGGTTTGCTGGATGCTGAGAGACTCACACAGAGACCAAATTTACAAAATTAACGCATTTATTTTTAGAAAGACACGCTTACAATGATCGAAACAATCGGGATTGTAGCCTTTACTCCTACAATCCCGATCCGTGTCGACCGGACTGTTTTCTTCCATCCTCCCCATGTCCTCGAAGCTTATAAGTATTTACTAATGATTCCTCCAACTTCCATCAAACCTAAACGCGTTTTCTCAGCAGCTGCATATATGTGCAACTGCTGAGAAAACGCGTGCACAATATATGTGCAACAAATTGAGAAGCAGACTTGGTGATGAGACACTGGATGCGTTGTTATTTCTCAGATCATATTTTCGCAATTCAAATTAGAATGTTCCTATTAGATTAGTTTTCTTTATATTTAAGAAAAATGTGACTGATTAATATTATTTTTAAATACTTTTTGCTAAGAAACTTACTTTACTACCTACTTACTAGGTTGTTATATGAAAGTAGTGTATTTAGTCGATGTTAAAAGAGATTTTTGTTAAATTTCAACGTTTATTTGCATAGTTTGTTACACAAAGGTTTTTTCAATTTATGTGAGTTTAAAGAGATCTCAGTGATGCTTAAAAAAGAAAAAATTTAACATGAAACAGTGATTTTAAGTCTGGTTAGTCTGACTCTAAGTCTGATTAGTTAGAGTGATTAAATTAACTAGGTGTATACCGTAAAATACGTTGATTTTTGTCTAAATTTTGATTTTTGATTTCTGTAAGATTTTCTTATTTTTTATTAACCCTCAATACCGAAATAATCCCGGGATCCCGGGATTGAATAAGTATAAGTAAAATCCCGGGATTAGAAATAAGGACCGGGATCGAATTCCCTAGTCACAACACATTATTTGAACCTTGTCATTTAAATTCCAGTCATAGAGCGCATTTGAAACTGCTTTGGCTTGGTGTTTACCAGAAAAACTGTCCAGTATTGGTACGGCAAGCAGTTGTTCCCTCTCTCCAAATGAAATAAGAATCAGTAGGCACTCTTCTTTAGAACTTCTAACGTTCAAGCCAGGTAACAATTTGCCATCCCAATGAACAGTGACTACTTCTGGCACATCATCTGGAAAATTGGATTTTATGGCTTCTGCTCTGTCCTTCCTCACTTATGTCTGAATCTGTTGAAATGAAGATTTGTTGATTGAAAATTCATCAATATGAAGCAGTAGTGCTTCCACTGTACTGTGAAGAATATAAGCGTAATCTGTAATGCTCAACTGGCATCTGTATAAAGCTGCAACTAGTTTAGGCATAATAAAATCCATTCTTCCTCTTTTTACACTAGCTTCAGACGACACAGTATTCGATTCCTGAGAAAAAAGCTCATTTAGACTATTGTTAGAGCTACGAGAACTGTTGTATAGTTCCTGGAGTGGTGATAAATTGTGCAATATTGAACAAGTTGATGCAGCCTTCATAGAAATATTTTTGAGCCTTTTTCTCTACTTCTATTTTTCTTTTTCTTACCCTTTCTTCTTTTTCAGCCAATTTTTTATCTACACCTGCCAAGCAGCCTGGATACCCCGGTTCTCTCTGTTTCTGTTAAAATTTTTTATCTTCCTCTATTGTCATATGTTTGAGGACATCGGCATGTGCGATATCAAATAAGTCATTTAAATCTATTTGAAAAGTTTTATCACAGCACTTATAAACATCTTGAGTTTTCTTATTGTTTTTTTGCAACTCTCTCCATACATGATAACGATCCACCAATTTCTTGACACATTTAGGTATAGATTTTGAAGGTATTTTAGCTTTTTCCCAAAATATGATACACTTGCATATTACAAGATTTGCACTTTCACTCACAGTTAATTTAAGTTTGCGAATATTAAAAAACAAAACTGCGAGTACTTGCCGATTTGACAGTAATTTTGCACCCTTGATATGGTGGTTTATCTCTCCAACTAAGAAAATATGTCTTTTAGTGCTTCGTAATTTCACCAACATCTTCGAAAAATAAAACTATATGTATTAATAGCCCAACAAGTTGTGTTAGAATGGCAAACAAAGCGAATATGTGCCACTTCTCTAGCACAATATGTATGGACATGATTCGATGCAAGTCAGCATGGCTTTTAGTGACCGAAATGAGTTGTAATTTATTGTGCGAGTATTTAAGGGTAAAATAAACAAAACTAGGCCATATGCATTAGAAAAAAAAATATTCAAAAAATAAGGGACACCCTAATATATATACATGCAAATTTATCTAATTTGATCATAGACTTTTTCGGAAAGCCTCAGCTAATAGCATATAGCTTAATCGCATTTTAACATAGGCTTATAAATAAAAATATGGTATTTTTGAAACCGTGCCAGTAATTTTTAGTAATTTGAACACAAATCATTTATTGTATTTATTCAGACACTTGGCAAATCTCATCATTAAATTTTATTCAGTTGATATGTATTCGTACATGTTTCGGGCATTCCTTGTCCCTCTTCGGCCAACTTTTAGTTGGATGTTATTTACCTCAGAAAGAATACATGTTTGATTTTTCATATAAACACACACTATTGAGTGTCGAGGAGAGTTTAAAGAGAATTGGTGTTGATTATTTTGATTTTATCCAGGTTCATGATTTAGAATTTGCTTCCAATCTAGAAATAATCATAAATGAAACTTTACCAGCTCTCCAGAAAATTAAAAAAGCTGGAAAAGCTAAATTTATAGGAGTTACAGGATATTCTCTTCAAGCTTTACAAACTGTTTTAGATAAAAGCAAAATAAACATTGACACAGTTTTATCATATTGTTGTTACACACCCTTTGATCAGTCATTATTAGAATACTTACCTTACTTCAAGGCAAAGAATCTTGGAATTATAAATGTAGGTATTTTAGGCATGGGATTATTGACAAATAGAGAAATTCCTAACTGGCATCCAGTTATAGAACCAATTAAAATTTCCTGTAGAAATGCTGCTTTATACTGCCAGGGATTTTTTATATAATAAGAAGTCGAGTGTGTAAGGGTGTTTTAAAGGTTCAAACCTACAAACATTTGTAATTTAATGGATAACAAGTTAAATGCGCAAAGGAATTTTACGGTTTTAACTTTCAGTAATCCATAATCTAAAAGTTGGCCGAAGAGGGGCAAGGAATGCCCGAAACGTGTACAAACACGTATCGACCGAATAAAATTTAATGACGAGATTTGCCATTCTATTTTTCTTTTTCTTACCCTTTCTTCTTTTTCAGCCAATTTTTTGTCTGAATAAATACAATAAATGATTTGTGTTCAAATTACTAAATAAAAATATGTCGAACATAAAGATATTCCAAATTCAAATAATCCAATTTTATCACAAAACGATAGCACACTAAATGGTACAAGTGCAGATCCGAAAAATCCGTCGGGACCTTAAAGCCATAGACCATATCCATAGGAACAAAAAAATCAAAGAAAATCATACTTCCACACGCGACCCTTTGCAAGAAATAGTCCCCCAAAATCAGCCTACTTCCAAAGATCAATCGGGAGTCACAATACAAGCTCTGCTAAGATTATTATTAATCTTAACAATTTAGCCCACGCCAGCTTCGAGTAATCCACTCGACCGTTGGCGGAGCACTCGGCGTCGCACGGTTTTAGGAGGAAGCGGGGTTCGCCCCATCCACGCGCAGAGGATAGTAACGACAGGCTCCAGAGTGCACAAACACGGGCGGAGCATCGGTCAAGTCAAGCAACAGAAAGCCTCAACCAATGCAGAGCATACAGAATAGGCAATAATACCGGTTCAAAGTAAAAACTATTTTCGATCAGTAGAAGTTAATGCATTTATTATTTACGTTACGAGCAACCGGTGACGCCCAAAACATAACTCGCTCGAAAACACGACATCCGCCAGCAAGACGGCACATCCGGAGACGCATGTCACGAAGGATCGCGCGTAGACGCACGACACCTTCGAGTTTTCCTCCTACGGATACGGTCCACAGCTCCGTCATTCAGATCTGCAATTTTACCTACTAAGATTTAAAACAAAGATTTTTTGACTATTTATTTACAATAAAGTAAATAACTTTTCACGAAAAAATAAGGTAAAAGTTCATTCAATTTGACTACAATCGAATGACGAAAATATATCTATAAATGCAAATTTATTTCACGAGATTTAAAATAATGATTATAGCAGAAATTTCCAGCATAATTACCCTTACGTTTTCTGCCGCTTGACACAGAGCATCCCAATCAAGTTTCGGAATCATTCGACATACAAATTCCGGATTAAAATCTACTTTTGTTTTACTTATTTTATGAGCCTAAAATAAACAAAAGAAAACTCATTACGCCGTCTGTAAGCACACATCGATTTGTACTCAATTATATATTTTTCTACTCTACTCACCACAATTCCCAGTGGATATCCGACATTAACGCCTTTAATGCATTTTGAAGTCATAAAATTATGAGTTAATAATTTCATTCTTCTTATTTCGGTAAAACTTTTCAAAAGAGCACGTTCTCACGTTTCGAGCGTGTGCAACAAACATACAGAAAGGATAGAACGCCACCCGGTGTTGCCAATCGAAACGGAAGAATAAAAGTTAAATAAATACAAAAGGTACGTTAAATTTTCAGTTTTGATAAATCATGACACACACTTATTATACTACTTTTTAATTTTTGCATAATTTTATAAGCTGACTTCTTCGACGGTCGCGGTTAAGACGTCAGACTTACCGCTCTGGGGTTTCTTCACGTCTGTAACGCCCGAATAGGGGCCAGTTAAACTTAACTGGCCCTTAAAAGACCTCCCGGAAGGCATTATTCCTCGCGTAACGACCATCACAAACACATACAACTACTATATCACGTGACAATTTCGTCACACTTTACTACGGCGCGATGTAGCCTAGAAGCCGATACAATACAATACAATACCGCTGTGGAACTACGATAAATGTGATTTTTTCAAAAGAAAGGTCCTCTTAGTGTCCGCACAACCTTTTTTTGGAAATCGAGGCTTTTCTGTATCTATTCGGTTCCTATTTAGGCAGTCGCGTAATCGTGATTGACGAATTCGTGCCGCCGCGTTATCGGAGATGGTTCGGCACTGGCGCGATATGAAAATATAAGCATTTTGGTTTAACGAAGACAATTGGCGGTGATATAAAATAAATTTTAATTGAAATTTGGTTACTTCAGAATAAAATATATCTTTTAAAAATTATCAATGAGAATAATAACCTTTACTATTTACGCAAATATTCTACGTTGAACTGTTTAATTAATGTCATCACTGCCCATTATCAATCACCCGGTGATACTCGATCATCCGTCGTCTTCGTCTTCTTTTTATTTCCGTTTATATAGATATTTCATTCGTGTTTCATTAATCCCCGCTTATTTACTTAACGATATTTCCCACTTACGAGGTCAAAAATTTTATATCCATTAGTTCCGTGATTGGTTTAATTCATTCTTCAATTGGAAATCGTAACGAGTGAAAAGTGGCGTTGATCCGGGCGGAAGAGGTGTCAACTTTTTCTTTTTCCTAGATTCTTGCCAGCTGTCTAATCTGTCGAGTAATCTTTCTTAGATAGAAGAATAGAAAGTACTGAAATCACTCTTGTTTGAATTACCGTGTTTTTATTGAAAAAATATTACTGTACTGTATAAATTGCCTCTCTATTCACTTGGCGATAAAGTAGTGTACTGTACAGTATAATAGATTAATTTTGCGTCGTTTATGTCGCTTCCTCTGGAAACGCATTTCTATCGTAAAATCGGGGCAGCCCGTACAACGAGTATCGGTATCGTCGACGCATTTTATTCTTACAGTACAGCATTTAACTGAGAAAGAAGTCTTACTTGCGCGGGTGTCTGAGACGAGTCATACGTAAATACAGTGGTTTTGCAGTATCGAATGCTGCGTTAAGTTTAAGGGACTTTTCTAAATTTGTCTGTCAGAGTTCTCAGAAACATTAGAAAGTGAAAGTTAAAATAAGATTTTCAGTTTTATTTTAACTCCGGGTTTGAGAGTGGACTATTCTATACTGTAATACAAAAATGTCAAAGCGAAAGTGTTTAAGCATTACTAAAAAATTAATGTGATAAAGGTTCAAAAAAAAGAAAAACGTGGCAGCAGTTTGGAATTCCTGCCAGTAGTTTATCAACCATAATAACAAATGGTGAATCAATTTTGAAATTACAGGTAGTATATGTTGCGAGACCTACAGCGAAACGTGCTAGAACTTGTGTTTACGTCGATGTGGATAGAGCAGTTTTAGTTGCCAAGCATATTACGGAGAACATTTTTTTAATTGTTCCGTTTAACCAAAAATTACAAATTCTTTTACGAAAATGTAGTTAAACTAACTCGTATTTTAATACATAAATGTAAACTCGCTTAAAATTAAAATCACGTTTATATTCGTTTAAGTTACATAAAATAACTAAAAAAATTACGTTAAAATAATACTTTAGTGAGCGGAAAGTAATTTCTCTTTCGCGAATTTTTTTCGGGATGTGGTAGGTTGCCACCTTACGAAATAAAATTATTGTATCTGCCTCTCGAAATTATCGTACGTCCATCTCGATCCGTTACACTTACGTCTTTATCCGTAGAAATATTAACCGGGTTCAATCTCAAAACTTTTTATCCGCGACCGCTTCTTACAACAAAAATCTTTAGACCCCATTTTACAATGACGTTTTTACTACTCCCCTTACAATATATGGTGCAAAACAAAGCTCCGAATGGGCGTAATCTAAAATCTACGTTTCATCATTATCAAACATTAATACGTAGCACATTCCGCGCATTCTTTTATTTAGCAGTGCGCCGACGGTCGAAAACACTTTTGCTGGAGAAAGAGCTATCTCAAAATGGCCGATATAATCCCAGACCATTAATACGAAAACGTACAGTACCTACAGTTTTTAATTTAAAAATAAATAAATTTGAGAAAAACTTAAAACAGTCTCGTCTTCGTCCTGTGATAATTATGAAATAATTCGTCCAATCCGAAATACAGTATTATTATATAATCGGCCTATTAATAATGTATAATTGGTGTTTGGCACTAAAGGCATCGGCCTATTACGCCGGGTTTATTTGCCTAGTATTAAATACAAATTTCAGTTAAATTTAATTAATTAAGTTATAAAATACGTAATAATAACTTTTCGTTGACTAGATTCAAAACAATGAATAATACGTGCTGTTTTATAATTATTGTTTAACAATGAAATCGTTTTATCTTATTTGAGAAACCTCGGAAGACTGAAGTCGTAAAGGTAATTTGAAATTATATTTCGAATATTTTTATCAAATTAATATATTAATTAGCTTTGTCGAATTCGAAGAAGGACGATGGGATTTCGGTTATCCAAGATGAATCGTACACGGCAATCGAACTAAGAAGATTCTGACCGTGGTGAGAGAAGACAACGCTTTCCTTGTATATTAACTCACAGTCCGGTATTCGTCTCTGCACGCTGACATAATTCGTAGTTCTAAGCTATCGAGGGAACTTTCGCTTCGTCGATGGAAGCTACGGGCACCCGGGCTCTTACAAATTATATACAAGGAATTGAACAAATGTGTTGCATGGGAAGAGCATTTCTCGCCATCATTCACTAATTTTAGTTTTCAGATTTATTACGGGTCGCTCGTCTAAAAGTAGGATCGAGTTGTGTATAGTTGCGGATGAATTGTTTACTTCGTTCAACTTAGCAATTCAATCGCGGCGTCGTTTTTTGCCGATGACAAATACTATGGATTGTTATAATACGAAAATTATTTGAAATTTCCACGAAAATAGGCGGCAGAACTCGTCGAGAACTCGATGACCGCGGGTTGCTTCTGCTCGGAATCCATCATTTATCTGCAATGAAGAAGAAGGCTTACTATCGAGGAAGAGTTTCTCTACAAAACGTGTAATTTAAACGGTCCCGTCAGTTAACAAAAAAGTTATGCCCACTTTTGCATTACTTTCGATACAGCCCTCATACTAATTTTATACGTTCCACAAATAAATTTTTCAGCCATGTGTTCGTTGTTATATACTGTAGTGTAGTTATGATAGATATCGCGAAGTCGTCCATTGCTTTCGATTACAAAAAATCGAAAAAACACCTATAGACACTAAATTAGGAACACGGGAAGTGGAACCTTCGATTTCGACGTAACTATGATTTATTTCGAAATTGCTCTGTTACGTCCTAAACGATTTGACTTTTGTGCAAAATGAGTGTGCCGGAGAGAAGCAAAACACGATTTCCACTACGAATGCAATTAAAGTATTATTATTATATCAAAAAATACTTTTTAAAATTTATAACACCTAGGTGTCTTTACAGAAAAAGCAGAAAAGTATCTCGCAACATCATTACCACAGAATAAATAAATATAACTGTCTCGCAGCATAATTTTATTTTATAAGAATGGGTTAGTAGACTGATAAATGAGTAAGGTTGCGGTAATAGATCTTCGGTACCTTTGACTCTAGATCTCACCTTATCATAAATTAGATAGTACTATCGATGAAAATGAGAAGATTGCAATTTGAGTTTTGTATTTTATAATAGTAATAAATATTATAAACGAACGAGTTAGGGTGAGTGAAACTCTACACGTGTCATTCGTATGCAGAGTTATACTCATTCCAACTCTCGGCGGAATTCTCACACTGGGTTGTCATTCGTCGACGAAAGGCGAGCGAAGAGTTATGTATTTAACGACGCACAGAAAAGAAATATCGTACAATCCTTTACATTTTATTTTTTCCCGATTTAACGGACATGTTGGAAGAAAGGATTGGTCCTCTATTGCCGAAAGTTCGTTGAAAAGGAATGTACTGTATTATAAATCGAAGGCCTGCTGTAATTCTATATTGTTATAGTAAATAAAGTGGACAGTATTTCTCGTTTACTTCAGAATCGATTGATTTAATCAGAGGTTAATGATCCATTTTTATCCATTCAATCGATCAATTAGCCGATGTACTTTCTTGGAGTTCAAGGTCTCGTTCGGGTCAAAGATTAAAATGCTGACGAAATGTCAGGCAAGATGGCGACTTCCGAACAAATCGAAAAGGTTGGTGAAGCATTCCGTTATTTCTCTAATTTTGTGTGCCGAACACGAGTATATTTTTTATTTCGTAAAATAAAAATATTCTTATGTTCAGTGCGTCTGTCTGACTTTTCTCATTTCATAACTAAAATTAAGTTTTGTTACGACACTTAATAGGACTACCTGCAGTAATTTTAAATAAATTGGAGAAGACACGTTATATTTATGTTTACGTAAAAGAACACGGTTTACAACTTGACGACAGATATAAATAAATTTTAACATATTAAAAGTAAAATGCTTTTATTGGTCGTTTTCCGAGATTGGGGTGTTTCGTCCCACCATATAAATTACTACAGCGCATTTTTACTCCAACACATGATTAAATTCTACATTTGGTTATGTTTATCTGGTTTCCAAGTGAGGGATTGTGAGAGTGAGATGGAGCCACCCCCTAAAATATCATCAAAATGCATTGTCTTGGGTTTCGTCCTTCTGCCTT